AAAAAAAAAACCCCAGAGCCAGATGATTTTAGTGCAGAATTCTATCAGAATATCAAAAAGAGCTAATACTTTTCCTCCTCAAAGTATTCCATATGACAGAAAGTGAAGAAACATTGTCAAACACTTTTCATGAGGCTACAGTTTCCTTGATACTGAAACAACACAAAACCTCAACCAAGAAAGAGAATAACTGATTGATCTCACTCATGAACATAGAGGCAAAAATACTCTATAAAATAACGGAAAACAGAATCCCAGAATACACGAAAAAAAATTCATCATGATCAAGTCGGCTTCATCCAAGTGATGCAGAGATGGTTCAACATATGAAAATCTATCAAGGTATTCCACATATAAATAAAATGAAAGAAAAAAGCCATATGATCATCTCATTACATGATGAAAAATCATTCACCAAAATCCAAACCCCTTCATGATAAAGGCCTTGAGGACATCAGTAACACAAGTAACATATCTAAATATAATAAAAGCAATATACAGCAAGCCAACAGCCAATATCAAACTAAATAGATAGAAACTCAAGGCAATTCCACTAAAATCAGGAACAAGGCAAGGCTGCCACTCTCTTTATATCTCTTCAACATAGTTCCTGAAGTTCTGGATAGGACAAACAAAAGGAAATCAAGGGCATTAAATATTGGAAAGGAAGAAGTCAAACTTTTGTTATTTTCAGATGATAAGACAGTATATATAAGTGACCCCAAATTCCCTTCGAGGGAACTCCTACAGCTGATAAATACCTTCAGTAAAGTGACAAGATACAAGGTCAACTCAAAAAAAATCAATATCACTTCTATATACAAATCATAAGAGACTGAGAAAGAAAACAGAGAAACATCACCCCTTCACATTAGCCACAAATAGCATAAGATATCTTGGGGTAACCACAACCAAACAAGTAAAAGACCTATTCGACAAAAACTTTAAGTCTTTGAAGAAAGAAATTGAAGAATACACCAGAAGATGGAAAGATCTCCCATCTTCTTGGATAGGGAGGATCAACATAATAAAAGTGCCATTCCTACCAAAAGTAATCTATAGATTCAATTAAATCCTCATCAAAATCCCAACATAATTCGTCATAGACCTTGAAAGAACAATACTAAACTTCATATGGAAAAACAAAAAACACATAATCGCCAAAACATTCCTGTACAATAAAGGAACTTCCAGAGTCATCACCATCAATGACATCAAGCTCTATTTCAGAGCTACAGTAATGAAAACAGCTTGATATTGGCATTAAAACAGTGGTTGACCAATGGAATCCAATTGATTTCCCAGATATGAATCAAGCTCAGAGATCTGCCTGCCTCTGACTCCCGGAGACTGGAATTTAAGGTGTGAGTCATCTCAACCCAGCAATAATTTCTAATTTAATAAAATTCAGGAATGATAAACCTCCATGATAGACTTGTAATGTATTAATATTAACATTAGTTCAGAGTTTCAAACGGTTTTGGATGTGTTAACCATATAGTTTAATGTATATGTGCTTGTTAGCATACTGTGATCTACTGACTAAAGATAATACATAGAAAAAGAATTCATTCTCATTGCATGACAGTTATGAATGCATTTCTAAAGGCATGTGACAACACTGTCTGGTGTGTACTGACTTTATCTGCCTTCATTGTCTTTCTTTGTCTCTCTCTCCCAACTCTATTAAATGGAAACATCAAGTAGGGAAATTGGAGCAAGTTGGGTAAAATCGATCACAGGGTCAATTATTTTTTAACAACATTCTTTGCATTTGGGTTAATAGAAGGTAGTGATGTGTTGCTTCATTCCTAAAGGATTTCACATGATATTGAAAGGGATGTTAGTTCAGACAGAGCGGTGGCAATAGGTGGCTCTTAAAGGGTAAAGATAGCCCAAGATAATCCATATCAGGATGTGAAACATTCCTAGTCTTCATCACCACCAGAAGTTTCAAAAAAATTAATTCCTAGAATCTTTAACAAAGGTTTACACGCACCCACACACACCCTGCCTAGAGCTTAGAATGTCAGTTCACTTCAAACTGTCATTTGTTACTTATAGAGGATTTACCCAGTACAACTGCATCGAGAACAAGCATCTTGCTTTGACACAAGTGTTTCTGGCATATACCTACCCAATTTGTATTAGACATTTCTAAACAGACCAATTAGTTTCCAGAAAGTTTGATATGTAGCCCTTACTCCTGCAAATATGACAGCTGTCACTGTGTTTCCATCCCTTACTTATATTAAAACCTTTGCAGCGTGGTGAGAACTCCTCATTTCCCTTTGGCCAGGAAAGTGCTGTTGGTCTTTTCACTGTGCATCCTGTGTGGGATTTTGTGTAGTTTGCACAAGTAGACCGTATCTCCTCAGTTACTCCAATGGTGTTTGGTCAGAATCATCTGTCCAAACAGTCCTACTCTGTTTATTTGTCGACAAGTGACTGTCAGGTGATTCACATTCTTTATCAATGACCTTTAGATAAATCTATGTAAGGTAGACCTGGTGACCCACATTTATGACTCCAGCCCACAGAAGGCAGAGACAGCAGACGCCTGCTTATCCTATATACCCAGATGTTGTCTCCAAACAAAAGCGAACACACAAGAATTTCTCAAGGGCCTTATTCCATATTGGGTGTAGCTAGAGTACTTGCATAGCATGCAGGAGGCTCTGGGTTCCATCCCAGCACTGCCAATTCTTTAAAAAGTGAACAAGTGATACCAGTGTTTGCCTACTAGGTCTGGATGCATGATTTCATTCCTTGACCAGGAGTGAGTAATGTTAAAATATCCTCGTGGTCAATTTGACAGGCCAGAAATACAGAAGCCATAAGACTTCACTCTTGTCCTTTCATTTACCTCATGAGTTCATTGAATTAAAAATATCCAGCCAAGTTAGGAAGAATGCTTAGCTAGCATGTATAAGGTCCTTGGTTCTAGTCCCAGCATTGCAACCCAGATAAAGTCACTTCTGTTGGCTTGTTTTCCTCCTTAGATAGGATCTCCTGTAGGTCATGCTTGCTTTGAACTCTCTTTCTATGGAGTTTGTGATGACTTCAAAATCCTGATCTTCTTGCTTTCATCTTTAGACTGCTGCAGTTACAGGCACACACCCGGCCTTTAGGCTATCTATAATTTATGGGTACAATGAAACTGATAGTTCAGAAGATGGCAAACCTTATTTAAATTTATTAATTTTTATTTTCTGTGCATTTGCATTTTGCCTGCATGAATGTCCGTGTGGAACTGGGTGATAACCTGGAATTAAACTGCAAAGAATTGTGAGCTGCAACACAACTGCTGGTAATTAAACCTGTGCCCTCTGGAAAAGCAACAGGTGTGCTTAACCGTTGAGCCATCTCTCCAGCCCCAAGATGATAATTTTGTAAAAATTTTATTTTTTTAACTTTTATTCAAGAGTGCTCTGCCTAAAGTCATTTATTCATTCATTCATTTGTTCATTCATTTATTTAGGATACAGAATTCTGCTTGTATGTCTGCCTGTTGGCCAGAAGAGGGCACCAGATCTCATAACGGTTGTCTGTGAGACCCTATAATATGGTTTCTGGAATTGGATTCAGGAATTTTGGAAGAGCAGCCAGGGCTCTTATACCCTGTGCCATCTCTCCAGCCCTCTGCATATATTCTTGCATGCCAGAAAAGGGCATCAGATTGTATGATAGGGATTCCTGAAACACAGTTTATAGTTCATAGGTTCTAAGAAAGAAGTTGGCTACATTGGGAAACACTAGGGCAGGCTCTGGGTGGGAGGTCAATATAAAGGAAAAAAATGGGTTAGGTTGTAATAGAAAAGTCCCCTTGTTGTGATTTGTGTAGGAAGGAAGGGTGCTTGGCTAGGTGAGCATATTAAAGATTGGCTAATTTGAATGATTTTAGTGGGTGAGTCCAGACTTACCTAGAAACTGGCCCTGGGGAGACTAGGGCTAGGGAAATACTAATGAAGGGGGTGGAGATGGAGGGTAAGTTGGCTTTTGCCTTTTTTGCCTGGGAAAGGCACTAATCCGAGTAGCTGATCTTCCTGACCTTCAGCACCTTGGGACTCTGTGAGGAGAAGGGACAGGGGTCTCATGTGGGGGGTGGGGTCACCGCAGGGGGTACAGCCATGCTTACCTCTGAGTGGCATCACTGTTCATAGCAGCCACACCCAACCAGTGACACCACGGCGAACCCAGGGACCACGCCCACCACCGAGTGGCATCAATTCAGTGGCCAGGCCCCATACCCCGCATGTCATAACTTTGTTCACGTGACTGAGACCACGAGTAGTGATGCCCACACCCAGGGACCAGCCCACTGCCATGCCAACATGCACCCTGTCACAATGCCCAAGAGGATCCTGTCAATCATCCGGAAGGAGATGGCTGCGAAAGAAGACAGGCATCGTGGGAGGGGTCATGGCTGGTGATTGATGGAGCCTGGCTCTGCCTCACTGTCAGACTAGGCCATGCCCCTGCAATGCAGGCCTTGCCCCAATCGAATGCCCCTCCCCCACCCTAGACCCTCTGTAGGACCCACCCCTCACACAAAGTTGACCATGGTCAGAGGCACATCAGGTCCTGCACGCCCACTTGCTGGTCCTATCCTCAAACTCTAGCCCCTTCCACCCAGGCCCTGTCACACCCCAGGCCCTGTCCATCTCCGACCCTCACTGTGGTTAGGATGGTAAGCAGGTCCTGCTTGTCCATCTGCAAGTCCCGCCCCCATCCGAAGTCCCTCCCACCCCTTAAATCCCTGCCTGTGGTCAGCATGGTACCCAGGTCTTGCTCATCCACCTGCAGGACAGGCCGCATCAGAAGCTCCTCCCACCCAGGCCCCACCCACATCCAAGCCTTGCCTGTCTTACACCCTCACTGTGGTTGGCATGGTGCCCAGGTCCTGCTAATCCAACTGCAGGCTCCACCGCATCCAAAGTCCCTCCCACCAAGGCCCCGCCCACACCCCAGGCCCCGCCTGTGCCCCCCCCCCACTGTGGTTAGTATGGTGGCCTGGTCCAGAAGGGCAGACAAAGGGAAGAGAAGAGCAGACACACGGACCAGAAAAAAGGACACACCGGAAGAGCAGACTCACGGAAGGGGAGAGTGGACCCACTTAGGGGGGAGGGCGGACCCACGGACAGGGAGGGCAGGGGGACATGCGGACCGGATGAGCGGAGGCCACGGACCGGGAAGGCGGACACACTGACTAGAAGAGCGGACACATGGACCGGATGACCGGACACACGGACAGGGAGGGAAGGCGAAAACGCCGACCGGAAGGGCAGACACACGGACCGGAATGACGGACGGACGGGAGGGGCAGGAACCGAATTGCAGACATGCCCGCTGCTCAGCTCTTCTTAAAAAATGGGCGCGTCAGCGGCGAGGGATACGCGTCATCACAGTAAGGTCGGAAAACGGAGGTTTGCGTCATCATGGAGCGCTGGCTCACAACAAGGCAGAGCTCGTGGGCGGGGAGTGATGCCTGCACTCTCCCGCTGCTCAGCGGCATCAGAGCAGCACTTGTAACTTGCATTCGCGTCATCAGAACGCGCTGACAGTCTCCATGGCGACGGCCCAACGCGATTTCGCCCGCTGTGCGTGGGGGTTTAAAACCAGGCGCGAGTGTTAGTCCTGGTGATTCGCGTCATCATGACGGAGACAGACAGGAAGAAGGGGCGGTGCGCGTGGCGGAGGGCATTTGCATCTCGCCGCTCAGAGTCTTTCTTCATACCTGCGGGGCGGTCTTTACACCCATGCTTCATCCCCGCGGTGCTGTCCTTACACTCATGCTCCATCCCCGCGGGGCCGTCCTTACATGCAAGCTTCATCACCGCTGGGCTGCCCTTACACCCATGTGTCATCACCGGGGCCAACCTTACACCCATGTGTCATCACCGGGGCCATCCTTACACTCATGTGTCATCACCGCGGGGCCGTCCTTACACCCATGTTTCATCACCGCGGGGCTGTCTTTACACCCATGCTTCATCATGTGGCTCTGTCCTCAGACCCCTGCATCATAAGTCATAGAAGAGAGGTCTTTTTCCCTCCGTGGGTGATCAGTCTGCCTCGGAGAGAGGAAACTGCTGCTGCTGCTGCTGCTAACAGATTCTGGAAAAATCCACACCAGTGCCTACAAACATACATCGAAATGTATAGACTGTATCTCCCAGTCTTTTTTTTTATAGAGAAGATGCATTTAGTGTCAACGCCGCACTTTCTTTTCTTATTCAACATTTTGTCTCTGAACATTTTCCCATATGCAAACACACAGATCTCCTTCACCACGAGGGTCTCCACAGGACTTATTGTAAAGACATAGCCTCCAACAGTACATACTGTCTAGACATTTTCTTTTTTGTTTTCTTTTATTACTTTAAAAGAAATACCAATCCAAATTCCCTTTCCTCCTCCCATTCCCTCCAAAGACCCTCCAACCCCACCCCCTCCAATCCTCAGAGAGATTAAGGCACTTCGCTTTATGCAAGGTATAAGGCCCTCCTACGCCTAGGTTGAGCAAGGAATACATCCAAAGAAAATAAGATCCCCAAAAGCCAGTGCATGCTGTAGAGGCAAATCCCAGTGCCATTGACGTTGGCCGCTCATTCTGCCTCAACTGTCAACCACATTCAGAGGGACTGATTTGGTCTTATGTTTCTTTCTTCCCATTCCAGTTGGAGTTGGTAAGCTACCATTAGCTCAGGAAAACTGTCTCAGTGGGTGAATCCATCATGGTCTTGACCTCCTTGCTCATACTCTCATCCCTCCACTCTTCAACTTGACTTTAGGAGCTCAGTCCAGTGATCTGATGAAGGTCTCTGCCTCTGTTTCCATCTGTTGTTGGATAAAAGTTCTATGGTGATATTTAAGGTAATAATCAATCTGACTACAGGGCAAGGCCAGTTCAGTTTCTGAAGAGAAACGGAGGAGGAAGAGTGGATTGAGTACAAGGCATGATGCAGAGGAATGGGTTACCTCATAAATTGCTGGGAGTTTTCATTTTCCTAGGTTTATAGCTCATCCCAGAGATGTCCCAGGATCCAGCTGTCTCTCTCAGTACTCTCCCTCCATCTTCCCTTCACCTGATCCCTCTTGTTCCCATTCCTTGCCCCCATCTAGACCCCTCTCTCATCCATCAGTGATGTCTATTCTATTACCCTTTCACAGTGAGATGCTCAAGCCCCATTGTGACCCCTTGTTAATTAGCTTCTCTATGAGCCTGTGATTGTAGCATGGTTATCCTCTCTGGGCCTGTGATTGCATCATGATTACCTTACAGCTAATATTCACTTAGAAGTGAGTACATACAATGATTGTCTTTCTGGGTCTGGGTTACCTCACTCAGGATGACCTTTTCTAGTTCTACCCATTTGCAAGCAAATTTCTTTTACTTTATGAAATGGCCTACATTCTATGGATGCCAAACATGGGATATCCTTATGTGAAGTGGGGTATATTTGAAGTTAGTGAGATTGCCCAGTGGCTATGTAAGCTTGCCATCAAGCTTAATGTGGTTTGAACCCAGTGTTTCTGAAGGTTAAAAACAAGAAAAACAACTCGGACAAGCAGCCCTCTGATCTTCACACCACATTTTCTGTGAGAGCACACAGGGAATGCTCGGCAATTTGGATTATTAACAAACAGAAAGATATGTCTGACTGTCCAGCGTACAGTATAGTCTTCATACTCCATGACAAAGGCACACACTGTCTGCAGAGCCAACACTATGAAGTCCAGCTCTGCCTTCAGGAGACCTGAGATTCAGAGGGTCTCCAGATAAAATGGTGTTTACTTTTCTGTTTATGTGTAAGTTTCCTTACAACCTTCTTTCACTTGATATTTATCCTGTGATAAATGTTTTTGCAACATGCATTTCACCATTACTTTTGCTTGCTACTGCCTGTCAGAAATATCTGAACGCATGATCATGCCCTTCAGAGATTGGGATATGAAAATATCCAAAGAAAGAAACAAGTTAGACAGAGGAAGAAGTCATTTAGACAGACCAAGAGAATCAATTTGCTGCTTTATTTAGAACAAGTTGGGAACTACAGGAGTTTTGTTTATCAATAGGAAACTCTTTCTAGGAACCTTCTGACAGATGTTGTAAATGTAGGAGTGCTCATTTCAGATTTCCTGATCAGCCACAATAGAAGCACACTTGGCCTTCACTTGATTCTGTAGTTTCAGAGAGTTCATCTCAGATAGAAAGAATATCACACCAGTGAGTGAAATGGTGGTCATCAGTACCCCTACTGGGAACACAGCAGTATAGTGTTTGCTTATTACGGCTTCTTTTTTAACCGGAAAGTCAGGTGGAAAGTCAAGAGTTGTTTGGCCATAATGGTCTACAAAGTGGTTCCAGCTCACAGAAACAAGTGTGAAGATGCTGCTAACATACAAAACTAAGGCAGCAAACTTGTAGCAATATATCTGCATCTCAATAAATGGGTCTTTCATGGAGCCAATCTTAATGGCAATTGAACCGAAAATCAGAACTACAGGCTTCATCAAAACAGTCCACATTATCAGGGTCTGTGCAAACTGAAATTCAGGTGAAATGGTCCACGTGGAATTGATAGGAGTGTGCACCAGAATCTTGGTTACAGTCCCTGAGACATTAAACTCTTTAGGGTAATAAGCTTCCCACAGTCCTAGGGACACAAATTGTACAATCTTGTCATCAAATTCCCACAGGCGCCAGAATTGGCTTCTTGCAATGATTGTTTCAAACACCAAAGCTGATAGGCTGCAAAGGAGGCCACTCAACTTGAAGAAGCATTCCTTCGCATTGGCAAATCTGAAGATGAAATTCAACAAGTATATAGTCAAGTCAGGAACACAAGGGACAGTGGAAAACAAAATGAGTCATGGTTTACAGAGTAATAAGTTCTCATACCTTGTCCTTGCTGTCACATAAAGTTGTATTTAAATAATATACTTATGGCCAAAGTTCCCTCTATAAGAGGTTTTGATTAGCAATTTCACTGTATCTATCAAATGCTGAAATGTGCAGATTTGTTAACTAAACATTTAATGCTCGGAATTAATAGTGAATAAAGATTACAAAGTTTACAACACAATGATGTTTAATTAAGCAGTCTTTACAATACACAAAAAAGAAAAATAGCTTAAATGAGAGGTATAGGCAGAAGAAAGCACAAATATAAATTATGGTAGTGAACTTATACAAATTTAATTCACCTATATTGTCTGCTATATTTGTAAATGTGTATGCTAGTGTACATGTTCATGGGAAAACATATTTGAAAACCTAAATTCTTATTATGTGACCAAAATTAAAATCTGTATGTGAAACATGAGCCCTCATGGATATTTCAATCATTTCTCATAAATTACTCAAACATACACATTAGAAAATGATCTTCATTTCATTGCTGAATATGAAGTATCCCAACTGTCTTATGTGAGCAACTATCTTCTCCAGCACCAAATTAATACTATACATTTACTGTATTTACCAACATATTTAGATCACTTCTTGGTTCATATCTTTGGATGCAGGGTTAATGTTCATGAATAACTATGCCCTGAAGGATGTCACTGTATTCATGAGAAGAAAGCAAGTTCAGGCATGTACATGATAACATTGGCACCTCCAATGCAGAAGGTTTGAGTGGCCTACAAACTGTATCTCTTGGCCAGGAAAATTTCCTTACCAGCTCCCCATTACTCCACATTCTCTGTGGAATGTACTTCCTAACAGGGTAAAGGCAGTAGCTCTACTAAATTAGGAAGTCACATCAGCAAGGTGACTTTAAAATCTAGTATGAATTGAGTAACACCCTACCCATGTCCCTCTTCCTTGTTAAGGCAGATCTGAGCCTTTTGATGTCAGAATCAGTGAGTTTTGAAGTACAACCAGAATCAGGGTAGAAAAATCTGTTGTGCAAGACAAATGAGCTAGCATGGCAAGATTTAGTTTTGCCCATGTCTGAAACCCATGGAGGAGGTGCTTATGTTTCATAAAGATCCAATTTGAAACCCTCCATGAAGTTCATCTTAATCTTTTACCTTTGTTTATCGAGGAGGAAGAGAACCATTTGAGAAATGCCGAGATCATAAATATCTTCCAAATAGCAGGAAATGTTCAACAGACAGGGAGTCGCACAAGAGTTGAATCACCTTCAGTAAAAGAAGTTCTGTTAGGCAGATATTTCAGCTCAGAATGGTGTCTCACCATCAACCCCTGGTTCACACAAACCAACCCCTTCCTCTGCTTTGCTTAGTTGAAGCCTCATTTATAATCTTCAGGGAAATTAGCCCATCTGATAGACCTGACCCTCCAATGAGATACACACAATCATTACCCCATTATATAAACAGAAAAAAACACAGAAAGTCTAATTCACAACCTCAGTTTCAGGAAACTACAAATGTATAAAGGTCAACACAGGCTACAGCGCCTTCACAGCTCCACAGGGATTCCCAGTACTTATATTCGGTAGGATTTACTGACACAGACACGACATCAACAAAGAGTTGAATCTTAGGTCATTGACTTCTTTGACCTTCTATGTCTCCTGAAATTGAAAGCTTTTAACAGAAACCATGTAGAAAACATAAAATACTTGCCTCTCTCCCCTTCTATGAAGGCCAATGCTAGTGACTGCCCAGTATGAGAGTGACTTTAAAAATTCTTGTTTCCGTAGCTACCGGAGATGAATGTCACATTATGAGCAAAGAACCAGAGTCAAGACATATAGTCTTAAAAGGCCAGGGTGGCTAATGTCCCTCTCATATGTATAAACCCTTAGGGATATAGTTAATCTATTAAAGGCACAAACTAATCTAGGATTAATTTGAAAAAGTTATCATAAAATATAAATTTATCATGATTTCTCCCTTCCACAACGTTTTCTACTCCCTATGTTTCTCACATCTCTACCTGCCCACTTGTTCAGTCTTTGCTTTCTCTATCTCTCTGAAAAAAATCTTAATACTGGAAAGACAAAAATACAAAATGAACACATGGCATAAGGTTTGCCTTGGCCAACTACTGCTCGTTATGAGGCCTATGCTGGCATGTATTGTGTTTTCCCAGTTACATTCCTTTGAACAAAACTGATTTTCTTTTTCCAGCATGTATCAATTGCAAATATCTTCTTGGTTAATGGAGATTTTTTGTGTCTACTACACAGTTAATAATACTGGCATATGGTCTGATTTGAATGAGTATGGGTCTTGTTTGTCCTTTCAAAGTCTCCTTCAGTTCTCATGTGGTATCTGTCTTGTGTCTCCAGGACACTGTTTCCTAAGAGTCATCCACTAACTCTGACTCCTACAATCTTTCCCTCTCTTCTACTGTACAGATCCCTAAGCCTTGAAGGGGGAAATCTGATGAGGACATTCCAATGAGGACTGAGTATTTCAATGTCTCTCATATTCTGCAGATTGTCCAGTTGTGGGCCTCTGTGTTAATTACCATCTAGTACAGAAGTTTCTATGATATGTGTGGGCTAGAGTGGGGAACAAATCTATGGGAATATTTATTCCTTTTTTGAATAATAATAATAATAATAATAGGAGATTTAATATGACCTGTCTAATTCCAGATTCTTTTCCACTTCAGTGGTGTCTTCTATAGGTTCCATCTCATGCAGTGGATCATACATTCAATAAAAATTCGATGGGTAACCTCCTTCAGCCAAAGGCCTTTGAAAGGCTGGACCAGGTTGAGGCAAGACTTTGTGTACAAAAAGGCCACAGTCCCACCCACTCACCCTCTTCTTCCCATGTACCACACCTGGATATTTCATTGCGGTTATCCATGAGTTCCCTTTAAGTAAACAAACACCTTAATACACCCTATTCAGAACTAGTGTGGGATTCCTTTATTTACTCCATCTGGTGCCCCCAATGTGGGAACAAGTCCACACTTATTGGGACAGTCCCCACTCCTGTGGCATTCCTTGTTCACCAGCCTGTCTGCCGCTGCTTAGTTACATGACTTTCCCTACCCATGGCTCACGACTCACATGCCATACCTTTTATAGCCAGTGATCCCTGTGGTGTTTCTTCTTCCAGTAGTACATAGTTCATGACTCACAACTGAATGAAAGCTTCGGGCTTCCTTCTTATTCTGACCACTAACTCTCAGAATCACTTTAATTGTCCTTAATAACTGCTATTAATTTGTTAAACAAAGCATATTTATCAGTATCAAAGAAATGATGTCCCTCTACTAGATGGCTACAACCATGACACCTTCTGGTCAATACAGATTATTACACGTATTCCAATTCACCATAATTACCTAAGGCAGATTAAGATTTGAGAATTATATGATGACTAACAATATTACTATTCACGAATTTACTAACCAAATTTTACTTATGCTATTCTTCAAGGCTTATGTGATTTTCGTGATACATCTGTTGAAATAAGAGCGGCGGCGGGGCTGCGTCCCCAACACCCGGCCGCTTGGCTAGCTTATGCCCGAAATAACAACACACAAACTGTATTCATTTAACTGCTTGACCAATTTCTATCTAGCCTCTTCTAGGCTAACTCTCGCCCCTGGACTAGCCCATTTCTAGTAATGTGTGTAAGCACCCCAAGGTGCGCTTACCGGGAAGATTCTAGCCTAAGTCCATCGTGGGTTGGAGCTGCCTGGGAGAGCAGAGCATGGCGTCTCTGCTCCAGAGAGCAGAGCTGTCCGGTCCCTCTGGAAGCAGAGCAGAGTCTGACCTCACTTCCTCTTCCGCCCAGAATTCTATTCTGTTTACT